TACATACTAACGATAATTGTTATTTTCTTATTCTTTTGTAAGAGATAATTAATTGCACAATCATATGTTTTTATTATGGATGATGTTACTCAATGGAAGGCGATCACACAAGATGGAGTTCAAGAGGAGATCGAATTCACACTTTAGCGATGCGGACTGTGCCATAGGAGGTGATTTATTCGGCGTTGGTTGATGGAATTAACAGAAAGATCATGATAAATAAAGCTACAACGCAATTGAAACTCTTTACATAGACGAACCATCGGAACACCATGTGTTGGTACATCAATGTATACGTGTGACTCATTTTGTGTGTTCCGTCTGTCTAGTATAACTATGTATACCTAGTAAAACTTTTTAATTAATTTTGTGTTCTCTATATCTGTTATAATTTGGTATAACTAGGTATAACTGTTTAAAATTGTTTTTATGACATCCAACGAAGAGGTTGATAATGAAGATAACTTTAGTATGCATGAAGATAATGAGAAAGAAGATGTTGTTGATGGATCTGACATTGTATCTATTCCATGGGAAGATGGTGTATAAAACGATATGTGCTAAAATGTATATTTGGATGATACTGTCATATTGGATGATACTTGAGGCATATATTATACGGTTGAGAAGTGGGTAACGGCATATACTAGGACGATATATCATGTACCACATATGTCAAGTTGGATGATACCTGAGGATGAACTTAACTCATCTGGAAAGGCTTGCTAGGTATAACTTCATATGACTAAGTATGATTGTGTGTTGTTATTTTGGTAATTCCCTCTGTCAGGTATAACTACGTATAACTGAGTATGACTATGTATGAGTTGTATGACTATGTATGACTGAATATGACTGTGTGGATTATTTTATCTTCTTTTTCTCTTTACATTTTGTTTCTTTACTATGTTCGTTTATGTACTTACGACTGTGTCTACTTGATACTTAGGTAGCATTGGAAACATACAAATATATTTAAAGAATTTGGAGCAAAACATATATTTTTACTAAAATTATACTTTATACATATGGTTCATGTATGAGTTACTAGCCTTATACATATGATTTAGAATTTCACATATCACCTCTGCTTTCAATACCAAAGGGGTCACATGAACATTGATGCCAAAGTTTAGAAAATCCATTGTAATCGCTGCATGTTTAACAATATATATATATATTCATACATGTCTTTCACGATGCTACTGAAGCTCTAAAGATCTTACAAGGAGGGAGTAGTAATCACACATTAGTTGGAGTGCCATTCGAAGCTTACGATGAGGAAAGCCGCATTATGTAAACGGAAAAAAAAATAACAAATGTCGAAGTAAATCTGATTACTATAATTTGAATTTGGAACCTAGGTCGAATTGGGGGTACAAATTGCAAAGATAATCCGAGTGTTGAGAAGTTGTTGGAGTATAAAAACACCTCACTACAGTTTTTATTCACAAGCATTTAAAACGTAAGAGTGAATGACTAAAACAAACAAGGTTTAATGTTGTAATTTATCGTATGACTAAATGACAAAAAATAAGGAATGTAACTACAAAAGGCTAGAGGGTGAAGAAAAAGGGAAGAAGAAAAACTCTTCGAACTCATAAACAGATGGCTCGAGAAAACTAATCATCTAATTAATTAAGGTTACTCACTCACAATGGTACTCCATAGCAAAAGTAAAAAACGAAATTCTATTGCGATAGATACATTAATTACATCATCACTAAGTAATTATTTATTCACTTCGTTCTGGTTTGATCATTGGTGCTCTATGGGTCGTTTACACGACATCACAGGTCCACGGGGAACTACTGACTTGGGAGTGCCGATAACAGCCACGGTTGCATCAGTCCTGGCGGGTTCACGTCGGGCTAGGAAGCATAGACAAGAATCGCTTCAACTAATCGAGGAGGAAATCGTAAAACTAAAGGAGAAACAGAGAACTACGGAAGCCGACATCTCTCTTTGGCGAGCACAAAATGACAAATTCAAAAGGAGATTCTACCCAAAAGACACATGGAATGCTCTTCGACAGCATCGACCGCAAAAAGAATGGTGTGCAAGTGTTTGGTTCACATACGCAACCCCGAAATACTCTTTTCTCATTTGGTTAACACACCTCAACCGTCTCAGCACTTTGGATAGATCAAGCCGATGGAGGAATGATGGTCAATCAACTCAATGCGTTCTTTGCAACCAAAAAGACGAAACAAGAGACCACATTTTCTTTGAATGCCGGTACTCGATTGGGATTTGGAAGAACATCGCGAGACCGTTCATGGGAAGAAGATTCACACCAAGATGGGAACAACTACAAGAGTTCATCAACACGTCAAACTTGGAACATATGGAGGA